TTAAAACTTTAAAAAGTAAGTAACCACTGCCTGCAATACTTGATCCTTAATACACAGGCCCTAAGGTCCAAGGTCAAATGAATTCTCTCTGCCCCTAGGTGTGCAATCAGCCTCCTTGCCTCCATCTCCTCCTCCCTTCCCCAACTCCCTGCTGAGCTGAAAGCCTGAAATTCAGGTCCCACGGAAAAGGAAAGCCCAGCAACCCACCCCGCCCCACCCTGACCTGGGGCTTAGTGAATCTCTGTTCCTGAAATTCTGCGGACCCTCGGAACATTTTAAATACCAAGGTAGCAATTTTCTCTTTACTTCCAACCACGGCTGGCCTCTTATCAGCCTAATTTTCTTTTTCTTTTCTTTTTTTTTGTTTTTTGTTTCTTTTTTTTTTGAGGCAGGGTCTCATTATGTAGTTGAGACTGACCTCGAACTCAATATGTAGCCCAGGCTGGTCTCGAACTCACAGCGATCCTTCTGCCTCAGCCTCCTGAGTGCTGGGATTATAAACGTGTGCCACCATGCCCAGCTAGCCTAATTTTCTTTTCTTTTGATGGTGCGGAGTCTTCAAGAGGAAACAGAGGGTGAGTAAATTGTCCAAGGGAGGGAGATGGCAGCCAATTGTAATGCAGGAAGGAAAATTCTCCATTGTGGACTAAACAAGGAAGAATGGATCTGAAATTTTGCTGCAGCCTGTCTCAGGAGACAATGGATTTCCTTTCCTAAAAATCCTTCAGACAAGGATAAAGATTTATTTATTCAGTGTGACTTAGGGCCATGTGTTTTGTACTGAGGGTCCTAGGAGCCATCACAATCCTGTCCCCGATGGCTCCAGGAGCCTTACAGTGCCCTGGAAATGGGAGATATGCTGCACATGTAAAACACACACTAGAAGACTTGGTGTATAAAGATGGATGTTACCCATCTCATTAATGATTTTTAAAACAATAATAGAAGTAATAATACGTTGGATTATATTGTGTTAAATAAAATACGGGTTTTTTTGGTGTGTGGTTTTTTTTTTAAGTTTTTAAAAATTCAAGCCTAGCCTTAACAACTTAGCAAGATTCTGCCTCAAAACATTGGGATGAGGATGTAGCTCAATTCAATGAATGCCCAGTACTGCAAAGAACAAAAACTTTGTACTTTGCAGTACTCAAAAACTCAGAAATCTCAATGACTTAACAAAGCCACATCAATCCTCCTTTAAGCTCTTCACCAGCACAGCCAATGCAGGTCTGTAAGAGGCTCATCGCCGTCACGCAGGAACTCTGGCTGATGGAGCAGATACCATCTCAACCACTGTCAGGCATCTGGCTACTGGAAAAGCCACAGCTCTGGAGAATATGGCTCTGGCAATTAAATGTTCTGGCCTAGAAGGGACAGCTGTCATTTCTGCTCACAGCTTATTGGCCAGAGCTAGTCACATGGCTTTACTCAACCACAAGGGGGCAGGGCAAACCTACTCTATGCAAAATAGGGAGCTGGAGTAATGTAGGGCAACTGACTAGCTTGATTTAGCTGTGTGTGTGTGTGTGTGTGTGTGTGTGCGCGCGCACGTGCAGGGGATCGAACTCAGGACCTTGGGCTTGCGGGGCAGGCGCGGTGCCACTGAGCTAAAGCCCTGGTCCTTGGCTGAGCTTTTTTATTTCATTACTATTATTATCATCTTGTTATCTATTGTTATTTGTATTTATATGGTGACGGTAGGAACTGAACCCTTGGCCTTGTGTATATTCGACAGACTCAACACTGAGGTACATCCTCAGCCCCAGCTTTTGTATTGCTTTTTTTTTCATTAAGTTTATTGGTACTTTTTAAGTATACAGTACAGTTACATTCATATTTGGGATCTTGTACCTTAACAGCTTGTGATCCATACAAGCTGAGTGCGGTGGGGCAAGCCTGTAATCCCAGCACTCAGGAGGCCAAGGCAGAAAGATTTCAATCACTGTAAGTTTGAGGCACATTGAGCTACCTAGTGAGTTCAAGGCCAGCCTGGGCTACATAGTGAGACCCTGTCTCAAAAAAACAAACAATATAAACAGCAACAACCCCCCCGCATAGAATATAATAATAGAAAAAATAGAATGAAATAAAATAGGAACTATGGTATGTCTTAAATTGTTTAAAATTTCAAAATAGGATGCATTTAAAATATTTTTTGCAACTGAGGCACTATATGTCGAAAATTCTTTCTGAAAAGGAAGCATAAGTATAACACATGTCTCTCTTGCATTATCACTATCAAAGAACTTACCCATTAGTTATCTCATTTAGGGCATTATGGAGCCCTTCACATATGAAGAAAATGGCCTAGGAGAGGTGGATGACCTGGGCAGTTCAACCAATTGGCAGAGCTGGGAACAAATAATGTAACAGACGGCACTTCCTCTTCAAACCCTAATTATTTCTTTCCTTTCATGTATCCGCCTCAAATCTTAAGATTCTTCTTCTTTACTGTTTTTAAGAATACTGACCTTTAACACACACTCAGCCTGGCACTATTATCTTTGCTATTTCTGAGGAAACTGAGGTCTAAACAATGAAGTGGACTTGTCCAAGAGTACAGTCACCAAGAGGCAGGGTTTGGATTCAAGTGCAGGTCTATGACAAAGCTGTAATCCCGATACTCTTCTGCTCATCTGGCTTATTTTTCTGGTTCTAGAAAACTGTGAATGACATCAGGGAAAAGTGTGGGGGAACTTCCCATGAGCCTTTGGTCCGGGTGATCCTTGCCTGCAGCACCTGCTAAGGCCTTGGCCCTTCTTACCAGGCTGACAGGGAAGAGGCAGGCACTCTGACACCCTGTCTAGAGTCAGGAACCTCAGCTCCCGAACACTGTACACACACACACACACACACACACACACACACACACACATGCACACCCACACTCCTTGATCTTAGAGATGGAACTAGGTGACTAAATTATGCTAGGGTTGCATTTTAAAGACATTATTTTATTTCTAGCTCTTATGGGACTTGATGTAAACTTTTGGGAAAGTATTTTTATGAGATTCAAAGATATTTATTTTACATGCCCTTTAAAAAGTGCCAGTACCATAAATAATAATAGCTAACATTTAGTTCCTGTTTTATGCCAGGCACTCCACTAAGGCATTCACATGGATTATTTCTCGTCCTTGAAATCACAACGAGGTGAACGGAGCCCACAACAGTGGGAAGAACCGTGATGCTCTCTCATACTGGAGAAGTGGCCTCTGTTGGGACTCTCAAGTGCAGAGGGCCAGTGACTGCTCTGTGTCTCCCTGCAAGTGGCTTAGGCTCTGTAGGTCTCAGTTTAACTGTCTCTCTCATTCCCCCACTGGCTTGTTGGCCTCAAGCTCCTGGAAAGGAGGGGCTTCCCTGCGCAGTGCTTAGCACAATAGGACTTTACATCAGACACGACTACTATCATCAGACAGAGACCACATCTTCAGAAATGAAAACCAGTGAGTGACAAGTGAGGGTTCTTACAGGACGGTGGACTGCATGTTTGCAATTGGAACCTGCTTGAAACCTGGAGCTCCGGGCTTTCCCCTGGGGTTGCTCTCTTGCTTATTACTAGGAAATCAGGCCATGTTACTAGCTAGCATGAGTCCTTGCTTTTAGTAATAACATAATTTAAAATTAATGCACAGGTTTACAGAAAATCATTTTAATGGGACAGTGAAGAGAGGAGATAGGAAAAGACTCTTGCTTAGGTAGCTGAAGAGGGCACATTCTAACAGAGGGGTACAGACTGGCTCACCCACAAAAGTGAGAGGCCAGCTTTCAAGTGTTAGCTGGTGAGCTGGGGTCCAGTTGATCATTATCTCAGTCCATTGTTCTGGAATCTTTATGGCTAGGGAATGGTTTTATCGCAGGCTTTAGACATGCAGGTTCAGGACTAGGCAGGAGGCTTGTCAAACATAGTTGGATGTCCCTGGAAATTACCTATTCTGTTGTCTTCAATCTTGAAGGGGATGAGCTTACGTAAATTCAGGTATAATCAACCTTGCTTTGCCAGCTTTTATATAGACACTTCCTAAATGCTAAGCACATCAATATGTAGAACTGAGAAGAGATTTAACCCAGGTTTTACAGCAATGAAAGACACAAAATGAAAAGCCAAACTTTGTTTTGCTTTTGTCTAGTGGGCATCTGTAGGCCCAAGCGAAGTTAAGGGTCACAGAAAAAATTGCTTTTAAGTCCCTGGCTGCCCCAGAAGAAAACACAAATCATGTTTTTAATGGGCAGCAGGTAAGGGGCCTGCATTTTGCCACTTTCCCAATCCCAACACTGATGTCTGACTGGAACTGTTCTTGTACAAACAGGATGGGCTGTTTCCCTACATCTGAGAGAAAATGTCCCCACTTAGTTTGAGATCTTGAATTTTTTCCAGCTCCTCCCCAATAGTCGGGACTTTCTAAGGACCCTGGACCTTATCAGGATACTTAGAGATGTTACATTTGCTTGAGCTAAAGTTTGAAGCCACAAGCTTGTGGGGGGGTGTCTTTTTTTTTTTTTTTTGGTATCAGGGTTCGAACTCAGGACCTTGCACTTGCGAGGCAGGTAGTGGAACCACTGAGCCAAATCCTCGGCCATGGGGATCATATCTATAGCTAATAATTAAGAAAATGAAGAAAATCACAGCTTTGCATACCTGTTAGACTCCCAGGTGACTATCTCTAGCTTGCTAATCACTTTCGGTCTAACACAACTGCGTCCACAGCACCCGTTCAGTCTGGCTTTGTGTCACCTTGGAGCTCACTGCAAGCCCGGTTCTGTGCGAAGACAGGTTCACAAAGTAGCTCCTGTAGTCCTCACAGCCATCCTATGTGGTGGGCACCCTGATCATATCCATTTGACAGATGAGGACACTGAGGCTTCAAGAGAAAAGCAAAATCTGCCCAGGGTCACTGTCATTGTCATTGTGACTCCAGGGTCTTCATTCAAACTACTTTGCTTTCCCTTCCACAGCAGACTGAGAATGTGGCTTTTGGAAGAGGTAAGAATAAGTCCAACCCAGGGTCAGCAGACACTTGCTTCAGGTTCTTCACCGTCACCTGACTTAATGCTTGCATCATCTTTCTGGGGTATGTATTGCTGCAGGTTGAAATATCCCTTGTTTGAAATACTTGGGACCAGAAGTGTTTCAGATTTCAGAGTCTTTCTGGATTTGAAATGTTTGAATGGACTTTACCAGTTGATTACCCCCAATCTAGAAATCTTAAAGTGGAAACTTTTTGAGTGTCGTGAGTGTTGTGCTTTGACAGATGGAAAAACTGAGGCTCAGAGAGGCCAGACAAGTTGTCCAAGATCAGCCCACCAAGGTCTCAAACCCAGGACTGCCTGACTTTAAAACTTTGCTTTGAAGCCACTGTTTCTTATCCATCACACTGTCCGTGTTTGGGGCTGGAAAAGTCCTGGTTTAGGAGACTGCTGTGAAGTAGCATTTCTTCCCCAGTTGTGACAGCCCAAATTATCTCCAGGCATTGTCAAGTGTCCCCTGGACTCAAAACTGCCTCCTCTGAGAAGCCCTGATCTAACCACCAGACCTCTGGTGCTAGGACCCTGGGCAAAGGCTCAACTCCTGGGATGGGGACAAAGGCAAGAAGAATTGAATTCACTTCCATGCTTTTCTTTTAAGAGTCTGAGGACAGTTGTTCTGTACTCTGTGACCTTGAAATTGGCCCCCAGCACGATGAGGCGTAGAGTGACTTCCCCAGCCTGCTGGGCTGAGCCCAGGGGCCTAACTGGTGTGTTCTCAGAGGGCCCCTCCCCTCCCCTACTCAGGCCTGTCTCTTCTGCCCTGGGGCCAAATTTGTCTGGTGGCCATTAAGGAAGCTGCCTGATGATTATCTCCCGGTTGGAGTTTGGCTTTATCTCTGCTCTTGGATTCTAAGTGGGATTAATGACTATTTGAGATCAGACTCCAGATCAGCTGCCAAGCACCTCTCTGTGCAGGAGAGGGCAGGCCCAGTGCCCATCTCCACCAGTGCTGTCCCCCAGGTGAGTTAGAGTCCTGGGGTCCTTACAGATGCCTCCCTCCAAATCACTGCTCAGCTTCAAGCCATAGCCAGTCCCAGTTCTGGTTTCTTACATAGGCTTTAGATCCTGTGGTCCTATTTGTTCTCCAGGCCTGGCCAAGAAAGGTGCCCACTCCCCTCACTCCTGCCCTGCACTTTGCACTGAGGCCGCAGAAGCCCTGGAGAATGTTCCTCCAAATCCACCCCACTCCACCTGCATGCAACCTCTCCCTGCCCTAGAGCAGCCTCGCTTCCCCTCCCTCTGCACCAGGCACGTGGGCCCCTGTTCTCAGCTCAGGGCCTCTGCAGGTGCTGTCCCCTGAGCCCGGGGTCCTCGCCATCCCTCTGTGCCCAGGTAATTCCACTCGTGCCTAGGGGGAGGCATCCCTGACTCCCACCCACCCTGAGCCTGGTCCAGAGTCACTGTTACATGGTTCTTACAGCAGCATTCCTCTCTCCCTCCTCGCTCTCACCTTGGCTCCAACACTTATTTGGGAGTATTTGTTTAAATTCATCTTCCTCAGGAGACTATAAGCTCCATGCTGGGAAAGATATGTCTGCTTTTGCTCACCCCTGTATCCCTGGTATGTAGCCTGGAACACAGCGGTACTTTTAACATGCTGTTGAATGATCAAAATGAGCTCATACAATTCTCCCAAGAAGTCTGTAAAGATCTTGCCGGTGGCTGGCACCCTTTCTCTTCTGTGACCTTCAGTAGCACCTGTTCTTTAAGCATTACAACATGGGAAGTAATGGACTCTGAGAGACACTGAAGGTTCTGGGCCCTATCTGGGTTCAAATCCCCTCTCTGCCACTTCCCAGCTGTGTAATACTTGGCAAGTTCCTTAACACCTCTGTGCTTTCGTTTCCTCTTCTTTAAAATGTCAGAAATAATAGTAATAGTGCCTGTTTCTTGGGCTGGTTTTAAGATCAAGTAAGTTAGTTTCCATGATATGCTTTTAAAGTAGCCTAACACATAGTAGGTGGTCCGTTATACTTAGTAGTTACTAATGTTATAATAGAAAGAACATCCATTAGATGGGGTTAGGTGGGCGTGGTTTTGTAATATTTCCAAATTATTCCTAATTACTTGTTACTTTGGATGAATCATGTCACATCCCAGAGCCTCAGTTTCCCCATCTGTTAAATCGAGATCTGAAGACAGACTTGAGAGGATGTTGTGAGGGTCAGACAGAATGTGCGAGAAGCCCTGAGCCCAGTGCTGGTGCATGGTGGCTGTTCCCCATGATGGGAACTTTCTGTCTAGCTCCTCTCTCCCTGGCACATAGTAGGTGTTCAACAGAGTTATCTACTGGGCAGAGAAATCAATAAAAACCCATATTTATGTTCAAGTCAAGACTATTGTAGTCGGGCATTGTGGTGCATGTCTATAATCTCAGCACTCTGGGACGATGAGGCAGGAGGATCAGAAATTTAAGTACAGTGCACAGTTTGGGCAATCTAGCAACTTACTGTCTCAAAATAAAAGGGATATATAGCTCAATGAGAAGGCCCTGAGCTCAATCCTCAGTACTGAGGAAAAAAAAAAAAAAAGATTAGTGCAATGCTCGCCATCTAATTTGAATAAATGTTTGAGAAAAGAATAGATTTCTCTTCCCCCTCTACTGACGATTAAATCCAGGGGCTTCATACTGAGAGCTACATTCTCAGCCTTTTTATTTTTTATTTTGAAATAGGCTCAAATTTGCCTCAGCCTCCTGCCTCAGCCTCCCAGGGTGTTGGGATAAATGGTATGTGCCACTGCCCAGCAGAACAGGTTTGTAGAAATGGCTGGTTGTTTTAGTTTCCAGTTCCCCTTCAATTTCTGAATTAAACTGAGAAAGATTCTGTGATTACATGTCACTTTGCCTTGGCTAAGGGATGCTCTGAGAGCTAGTGAAACATCACCTCTGCAGGTGTCTGTGAGGGCATCTGTGTTGGCAGACTGAGGGAAGACCTGCCCACACCAGGTCAGGGGCACCAGTGACCCACCTTTGACCTGCATGGAACCCAGGGTAGGGAAAAAGCAAGTGCAGCTCAGTGCTTGAGCTGGAACACTCATCACCTCCTGGCCTTGGACCTCGGCCCTTCCGGTCCTCTGGTCTTCAAACTCAGGAAGAGGCCCACACGATGGCCTCCTGGCTCTTAGGCCTTCTGGCATGGTCTGGAGCAGCGCCACTGGCTCTCCAGCTTGCACTCAGCAGATTGTGGAACTGCTCAGCCTCCGTAATCACGCGAGTCAATCTGTCATAATAAAGCTCTCCCTGTGTAGCTCTGTTTGTCCCATTGGCTCTGTTTCTCTGGAGGATCTTGGCTAATATTGAGACTTCTTACTTATCCCAAATCGCTCTAAACCTTCTTACTCTTATAAAATTGGGGCTATTAATAACATCTACCACATAAGATTATGCTGAAAAATAAATGAAGCAATATGTATATATTTGGCGCACAGAAAATGTTAGTTCGCTATCGCTCCCTTTCCTGTTTCCTCATCTGCGCATGGGATTCATTCATTCACTCAACAAACACAGGACCCAAGTCACCAACATTCCATCAGTTAGTTGGAATCGGAAAGGCCCCAGGCCTTGTGGGCTGTCCTCTCCGCGGCACAGAGTGTCTGTCACATTGAGTGCCCAGGGCAGATACTTCCTTCTGAAACTCAAGCCTTGCTCCTGTTTTCCTGGGTCCTACTTTCAAGGGGCCTGAGCAGTGCTTCCCCTGCACTTGGTGTGGCACTGTGGGGAAAGATTCGTGCAGGGAATGCTGGGTCCCTCCTTGGTTGTCAGAGTCGGCCATCTCCGGAGGTGGGACAGAAGAGCAGTTTGGGCATTGGCAATGTGGGAGAGACCAGGCCAGGTCTCTGGGCTCCTGCATCCGAGCGGGTCACGTCCTTATTTCTGGTACTCATGGCTGACTCGAGGTAACTGACTCCTGCCAACCAAACTCACAAGAGACTGAAACGTTTGAATTAGACTTTTACATTCAAGGTGAAAGTATTTTGGGGTTGGGAGGGATTATTCATCTCCAGTGACCAAAATATTTGCACCTGTTACCCACAGTAGTCTTTTATCTTTTATTTTCAGTTGAAAGAAATTTATATGCCAGAAGTGTTTAACTACCAGGAGTAGGCCTGCTGTCAGAGGCCTGGCCAGAGGTGGAAGAATGTCTGAGTTCCAGCGGCCCATCCCCACTGGACCTCAGGGAGGAAGCGAGATTTACGAGGTGAGAGCCTGCCTGGGCCGCTGCTTCTGTCGGGAGAGGCCTCCCTACAGTATTTTCTGTCTCGTCAACGCTGCATTTCATTTTAAATTGCAGCTGAAAGCAGATATTTTCCCTCTTGCCTATTACACCTCTTAATTTGTCTCTCCCTCTGCTGTTATTTGTCTCTATAAAGTGTTTTGCATGAAAGACCCACACAGTACAATGTTGCTTCATCCTGGGTTAGGTCTAACAGGAAGGGGAGACAGGCGGAGTCCAAGCGAGGTCGCGAGGGCCTCAGGTCCATGCGCACCTGCCTGGCAGTGTGTGCATGCGCTTGTTGTCAGAGGGTCTGTGGGTATGGGTGTGTGCCCTATCAACATCTGTACTAATATGCAGCTGTGTCTGTGTGACTTTGGTAAAACTGCCCGGGTGCCCGTGCTAACTGTTGGTGTGTAAGTACACTCCCACAGGCCAGTCTCTGTGATTTTTGTCAATGCATAGCAGCACACACGTGCACGTAAACACGCAGGCACCCAGCTACATGTAAGTCAGTGATGTGTGTAGTGTATACAGAGCAGTGCGCATACAGGGCCCCCTTTCTCTTTTGCTTCTCAGGGCTGCGATTAGCATCATCACTCCCAGCACCACCCGAAGGCCCTGGCAGGCCATAAGGTACAGAAGAGGATCTCACAGCAATGGTTTGTGGAGTTCGGGACACCGCCGTGGTCTGACCGAACCGTGGCCACAGCTTTCTAGTTTGGCTTCAGCCACCTCCACTACCCAGCCTGCTGCAGCAGCACCACCACGGGTCTGGGCGGAAGCTCTGGGCACCCCTGGGAAGGCCCCCAGGGTGCGGGCTGCCAGCTCCAGGACGATCCCGGGATGTCACTGAGGGGTGAAAGAGGTCACCCGATGACCGGAAGAGACCTGCAGACTGGCCCTGTCTCCTGCCCTTTCTGAGGAGACTAAAACCTAGAGCAGTGCAGGCAGGGTGGAGGGTCCCGGTCGCTCCCAGTTCAGCGAACTCTGGGCAGTAACCAATGGGTGACTGTGGCCCAACGGGGATCCCTTGGAGGCAGCCAATGACCTCGCTCCGCTCTCCACCCCGCCCTCGCCAACCCTACGCAGCTGGACCATTGGTGCGGGTGGGATGGGGGAGTGTGCGCGGCGCTGGCCCACGGAGGGGGGCGTGGCCTGGGGTGCAGTCTCTCTCCCAGCTGCGCTCAGCGTCCGCGCCCCTA